TACGTATTTGTGGTACAATTAGGGTGAACAGAGGCCTTCCTACAGATCTGAAAGAGGAATGTAAATGCCTGAAATGTGGTGACACCACATTCAGGAGGAAGGGGGACATTCTTCTTCAGTCCTGGAGGAATACTCACGTTGTGAATATGGTTTCCACTATTCACAATTCAAGTATGGTTGATGTTCAGAGACGCCATGGGCAAATGAAGAAGCCTCTTTGTATTTCCGAGTATAATATGTTCATGAAGGGAGTTGATAGGGCCGACCAGTACTTTGCCTATTATTCCCTTCCTAGGAAAACAGTAAAATGGACGAAGAAAGTTGCACTGTGGCTTATAAACTGTGCCCTTTTCAATTCATTTTCGGTTTTCAAAAAGGTGAACAGAAATTCTACTTTGAAATACAAAGCATTTCTGTTGAACTTGGCAAAAGCTTGGGCTACTGACCTCACGGTGGCAGCAGTACGTGCGTCAGACACAGACGTAGTGCAGCCGGGGCCATCTGTTCGCACCCACTGGCCTCATGTGGACACCCCTGGACGACTCTCGGGTGATATGCGGAAACATACCCTCGTGAGAATTGTGAAGAGTGAACATTGCAAGAAGAAGTACCCATCTAGGCAGTGCCATGTGTGCGCAGTCCACAAGAAGAAGAGTAGGACTGCGTACACCTGCAACTTCTGCGTGATGCCTCTTCACAAAGGGGAATGTTTCCAGAGATATCACACGCGTAAGCACTTTTAGGAGCTCTGATAAGTGTTCTCCAAAAATTTTAGTTCATTAAATTAATTAGGAGATTTTATATTAATTTTTAAAGTGAACAGTGCACAAGTTAGGGTGCTAGGCTTAAAAACCCCGGTCCCCAGGGTGATTTAAATATTTAAACTACCGGTCCGCAATGTGTTAAGTTTCATTTCATACCTCACAGAGAAAGGGGCATGTGGTAGCATAGTTGGTTGAGGCACTATGCTACAAGCTGGAAGGTCACTGCTTTGATTCCCAATGAGGTCATTGGATTTTTTCTGTTTACCTAATCCTTCCAGCTGCAGTATGGCCCCAGGGTCTACTCAGCCTCTAACAGACATGAGTACCAGTAATCTTCCTAGGGGGGTAAAGGGTTGTTGGTGCATAAGGCTGACAACCCTACCACCTTCCACGCACTGATTTTCTTGAAAACATGGGAGCCTTGACGTCTGACAGGCCTGTTACAGGGGTAGCTTCTCCCCCCTCACAAGGTATACTTTACAGCTCTGATACAAAGACCAACTGGTTAATGCTATTTAGGGAGAAAACTGCCGTTCACTGTCAGAACAGTACGAAACACAAATACACTCTGTAGGCACAATACAGAGTTTTAGTGTGTTAAAGCAGGTGGACCCAATAGACCCACTGGACTTTAAACAGCTAACATCAGAATTACTTCCATAGGTATCAAGATGTCTCCACACGAAGTTGCCAAGAAGATTGTGGAACATATGGGACAAAACCCATGGATTGGAAAAGTGGATGTAGCTGGTGCAGGCTTCATCAATGTGACATTAAACAAGACTCATGGAAGTAAAGTGCTGGCATTACTTTTACAAACAGGGGTGCAGCCACCTTCACTGGAAAAGAAGCTAAGGGTAGTTGTGGATTTCTCCTCTCCAAACATTGCCAAGGAAATGCATGTTGGTCATCTAAGGTAGGTGTATATACAGGTCTTAATGAACTCCTCATCTGCTCATTAGTGCTGATAACCATTCATTCTTATATCTTGCAGACTACAGAAAAACTGTCTTGCATGCTTCACCTAGGATAGCATAAAAAGGTGGAGTTGTCCCTGTACTTAACCAAGGACTACACCATGAAGGTGTAGGGGGTGGTTGGATGTATAGACCCATGTTTTCTTGACCCCAGCACTAGTTGGAGGGGAGTGGTTGACTTCACACCCCGGCCACTTTACCTCCCAGGAAAAAGCCCCTGGTAGTGATGGGATATGAGGTTGGTGGACCCCAGAGCTGGTCTGGATTACATGGAGAGGTGAAAATTCTTGACCCTACCAGAACTCGGCCCCTCAGTTGTCCAGCCGGTAGCCAGTCTCTATACCGACTGTGCTATGCTTCGCATAGGATGTGTGAAATTAAAAGTGGACCCACTATAGATCCTGATTTATTGTCACCCTGTAATGTATCACTGTTTTATAACTAATGAAGCAGCTTTACTGTCAGACGCCTTTACATTCTCTCACACGTTACTGATGTTACATGGTACACACCTATAGCTATAGATGTCACTGTGCATTACACCAAGACATTTTCAAGTGCTGCTGTATGTATTCGGCTTGAACTTCTCAGTGATTAGTGATTGATTTTTAACTTAACTACATGGAGCAAAGTTCTCCTTGAGAAGCCAACTTATACTTAGCTAGTTAAGAATTTCCCAATGTTCTATGAAACCAGAAGGTTCCTTATAATGTTAACAAGAGCCTGCCACTGGTCCCTGTCCTGAGCTAGATGAATGCAGTCTATATCATCCCATCCTTTCATTCTTAAATCCATTTTAATATTATCCTCGTACCAGTATCTAGGGAGAACTGGGATAGCATAGTTGCTATAGCCACTGGCTTTCGACTGGACAGCTGAGGGGTTGGAGTTCAAGCCTTGGTAGGGGCAAAAATTTTCTCTTCTGTGTATTGGCCAGACCAGTTCTGGGGCCCACTGAACCTTCTATCAATGGGTACCAGGACCTCTTTCCCCAGAGATAAAGCATCCAGAGCATGAAGCTGACCACTCACCTCCAACTAGTGCCAAGGTCAGGAAAATGTGGATAAATACATCCACTCTCCCGTACGTTTTCATGGTGTCGTGCTTAATTAGTTAAGCAAAGGGACAACTTTACCTCTCTACCTTACTATTATCTAGGTCTTCCTGGTAGTTTATGTTCTTGTGCTCCTACCAAAATGCTGTATTCATTCCTAGTTGCATCCATATGTGCTACGTGCTCTGCCCTTCTCATTCTCCTTGACTTAATTATTTTATTTGTCAAGGAATACAAGTGAGGAAGCTCCTTATTATTTGAGTTACATCTTAGACATTGTAATTTAATATTACAGATCAACAATTATTGGCGAGAGCATCTGTCGATTATTGGAGTTCCTGGGTCATGATTTGTTACGCATCAACCACGTAGGTGACTGGGGGACGCAGTTTGGTATGCTGATTGCCCACCTGCAAGACATGTTCCCAAACTATCTGACCCAGTCTCCACCAATTGGTGATCTTCAGGCATTTTATAAAGAATCTAAAAGGCGATTTGATGAAGATCCTGACTTCAAGCAGCGAGCTTACAATTGTGTTGTGAAGCTGCAGAATATGGATCCTGACTATAACAGGGCTTGGCAACTCATTTGTGACGTGTCACGGAGAGGTGAGCTCTTTTTTTTTACTCCAAGACACAAGTGAGCAAAGATCATTCTTTTTTAGGTCGCACCATATGTCAGCAGTTAGCCGCTGGCATCCCACTGTGGCGGCCCAGGTTCAGTCCCAGGTCAGGTCATGTGGGTTTGTGGTGGACAAATTGGTAATGGGAGTAGGTTTCCTCCAAATACTTCGGTTTCCCACACCAATTCTCATTCTACCAGTTACTGTATACTCATATCATCCAGGGCATGTACAATAGGCCAAACAGTGGCTGACATACCAAGTGGACTCAGTCTCACCCCCTCCCCTCCACACCCAAAGAAACTAAAAAAGAGGAATGTTTTTAACTCTTCACTGTGCATTTTTAACTGGATGGAGAAGAGTCATAAGAACTGTTTATATTTGAACTATATTTTTGTGATACATATTCAGTTGAGAGTCAAATAGTTAGCCTAAATGTTTGTCAGTTTTTAATTATCCTGACCACTAAAGGATAAAAATATGTTTATAAAAGAATGATTTCCTTGGAAAGAATTTAGGTATTTTTTGTTTCAGAGTTCCATAAAGTTTATGATCGCCTAGATATCACCCTTATTGAGCGAGGAGAATCCTTTTATCAGAAGAGAATGGAGAGATTAGTCAAGGAACTTGAGTCAAAGGGTTTGTATAAGCATTGCCTATTTTGTAATTGTAATTATCATTATGTAAGTCCTAAGTCTTAGATTGCATTGTCATTTAATGGATGACTCTTGTAACCTGTATCGAGTACCACAGGGCAGTCCAACTCTGAATGCTCATCCTTGATTTTGTTCCATTGATGATTCTTCTTGTTTTTCATACATATATGTATGTATGTATGTATGTCAGTTCAAGATTCTAAAGAGCCATTTTCCATAGATTTCCCACTCTACCCACACATATTTTGTTTTCTAAGATTTATGGTTCTCATGGCTGTTAGTATCAATATTACATACAGTCTTTGGGGGTGTGTTGCCATGGGGTTTGATAGACAGGTAGAACTTCTGTGCCCCGAAGATGGCAACTGCAGGTTCCTGTCTACTGAACTACACAATGTCATGTCCCACAAGACAATAATCTTTGTGTCTGGTTTCCTCCATGTAGAAGTTGCATAAAGAATCCTATCTCCGGGGATGTAATGCTGTTGAAAGTAAACTGATATTTTGGAGGAATATATTGCCTCCAGTTTCAGAGTTGAAGAATATGCCAAGCAAGAAGCCAGCATGAAGCAGGCAGCAAGCAGACACCTCTTTGTAACCACTGTTAGGACTTCAGATCTTACAGGAAATATATATGTTACATGTTCATCCCTCTGGAATAACCTTTCTCTACGCAGAATTGTTAAATGCAACTGAAACCTGTCACCGTGTTGCAGTCTTTGCATTTGTTGCTGAGTCATGTGAACACATAAACATTAACTTTTGCTGTACTTCTATGCTTTGTTTAATTTACTAATAGTTTTAATTATTAATACTGATAATAGGGTTCCTAGAAGAAGAGGAGGGAAGGAAGTTGATGTGGGGAACACGATCGCAAGATAACATTCCTTTCACAATTGTGAAGTCGGATGGTGGCTTCACATATGACACTTCAGATTTGGCAGCAATTAAACAACGAATTGAAGAAGAAAACGCTGAATGGCTGATTTATGTCACTGATGCAGGACAGGTGAGAGGACAAACACTAGATATTTTTACAGTTTGATCATCATGTTATATTGAGTTCATTGCTCTTTTGTATGCAACACTTCAGTGAAATTTTATAACTGTGTGATTTTATTAATCATTCATATTAATATGACTGTACTCTTTTAAAACAAGATTTCTTTTGTATGTATGTGTGTAAAATATATTTTGGTCACTATCTGAGAGTCAGGGTGCGTTTATTCAATGTGTAAGCTCGTGTAGTGTGCATGTTCTTAACCTTTAAACGACTAAAGACAACGTATGTCGTCGCAAAAATAAAGGCAGCGGTACGAATGACGCCATATGGGGTCGCACAGTCCGCGCGTGCGGACGTTATTTGAAATACATTTTTAAGGTAGAAAATAATGGCCTACTTATATAATTTTTGGCCACCATCTGCATGGAGTGTCTGTCTTCCCACCTGCGTCATCTGCTGGAATGTTGCCTTCGTGTGGAATTCTAAAAAAAATCCGGAAATGCAGAGTCCGATTTCGCACTTCACGCACTTTGTCCGGACGGTCTTTCGTTTCCCACGCGAAAAGCACACACGACACCTCAATTGCGAAGTAGAGGAAGTCGGCCAGTGATGTGGTTTGGCCTTCTATAATCGAGATATCTCC